AACAGCTTTTTTTTTTTTTTTTTTTTTTCCTGTAGATCTCTAGGTCTCTCTGATTTAACAGCCTAATAGACTGAGGTAGGTAAAATATTTCCTCAGTGACATTCATGTAGAACATGTAGGCATTTTATGAAGAGCTTAATTTTTTTATGTTCTAAGATATAAAACATGTAAACACAGGGTTTATTTAATGGGAAAAAAAGTTTTAGGCTGCAATATATGCATAAGGGTTTTGTTCATTTTATATAAACAGAAATGAAAAGAAAAAAATATTCTTTCATAATAAATAAAAACACAATGACAAAGGTTACAATTGAAGGGATTACAAATGACAGAAGCCAACATAAAAACTTTCAATATCGTACTTTTACTTTAATATGAAGACATTATTATCAAAGGAAAATACTTGAGAAACGCTTTGATAAAAATAATCTCACGCTATCTTTGAAGCGGTTTCATTTATTTTACTACCCACTGTGTTCCTTATCAGAAGGCCAAGTATAAGAAGTTTCCTAGTTTATGATTAGGAAAGAATCTGATAGATTAGAAGACTCAATTGAAGTTGGACATAATAAGTATTAAAGTATTACATGACATTAATCCTGCCATTCCATTACTCTCTCAATCATTGTGCACGGACTAATTATTCTGAAGCCAGTGTTCAGGAGAAAATAGAAACATACTTACACTGGGTTGGAGTAATCTCTTTATTGCATCAACAAGGCTAGCTCTGTACCGGTCCAGAAACAGGCTGACATTGAGAAGAGAACAGAATCCAGATTAAAATGGGTTTTCAATTCTAATGATACTAATGCAGATAAGTACAAGGCTAATTACATATGTTTACACAATGCTGTAAAAGAGAAACTGTGGTCTACATTTCTGTCCAGCTCAGCTACTTTTAAATATTAAAAAATACATAAAACCAAAGCTAACATGTCAGCTTGAAGCAGATCTTTACAGAGCTGGAATTCACAGATCACATATGCTAGCTATTGAAATACTATGATACCAGAAATCACGATCAATATTCAAAGCTAACATTTTACATGTTTTTTATACAAGATGGGGGTTGTGTTTGTGTTAGTTTTTAGAAGTATTTTCTATTGTATTTCAGGCATTACTATTACGGGTATTTTTTTCCCTTTTACTTTCACAGTTGTGGCATTAATTCATTATTATCCACTAAGCATATTTGTTCTATTTACGTATCTATCTCTATCTATTCCTATGAAGATTTACAAGCCCCTACCTCCTCTCTCCCTCCCTCAAATACTGTTCAAATACAAACAAAATGACCCGGATCATACAGAGTTGCCTCTCTCAAGAGTGAAATCCTTCATCTCCAGCATGGGTCCCGCAAGGACAGCAGCAGAGTCAATTTTCCCATGCAATGTTGCCAACATGCTCAGCCCTATTTTGGCGTGATTACCTCATGATTTGAGGGGATAATTCATTCTTCATGCCCCTCAGTACCTTAATGTATATACTAATAGTGGCAACCAGGGTGCCAATCACTCTTGACTAGATATTTGTGGACATGTAGTTACTGTGGATGAGAGTGCATTTACAATGGTTAGTGAACAACCATCGGACAGCAACCGATGCCCTTCAGCCCTTACTACCACGGGCTGCATTTATATTGGCGAGTCAGATAAGAAACTCTATCAAGCAGGCCACAAATAATGTGATTCTTTCTTCATTATTTTTCATGCTTTCTCTGTAATAAAGCTGTTTCCCAGCCTGTGTCAAGCTCAAATTCCACACTACACAGCATTTCGTCCATTCTTTATGATTCTTTTCTATATCCCCTTTTCCTTTATTCTCAAACGTCTCGTTCTGAAGCGATGGGGGTAATTTTTTGCCAAGTTTGAAGTATCTAAAAGAATATAAAGAATATATGAAACCACTGAAGAGAAAAAAAGTGGTCTGCCAACCACATGCCAGTTGTCAAGATCGGAATATGTGTGGATATTTAGGAAAGGACGCTCCACAGCTACCACGGGGAACACAGTATTACATATCATAGGGTCAAGCAGCTGTGTAAGAGCTGTGAATTTTTGCTACTTGCTGGGGGGGAGCCAGGGATAGGGGAAAGCCTATTAGAAAACTTGCCAGTGACCAAATTTCATCAGTAAAATCTGGCAGAACCTCACACTGTTGAGAAAATATGGTAGACTGGTATTCATATGGTATCCATACATTTCTTAAAGAACATTTCATATAGAAGTATCACCTTTTGAATTTCTTCTTAAGCTATAGAAGTGCTAGCTAACAATTTGTCTAATAGCCTGCCCACAAGAAAATTTAAACTGGTGCAACTGGCATGGTGGCTGCCCCTCAGCTTCGATTAATCTTACTGGAAGAACCTTATTGAAAAAATACTTGTTTAAATTTAATTCTTTGAAACAGCAGCTGATATCTCTAATGTCTCCTGGGAGTTCTAATCACATTCACCCCAGGTAAATCCCTATGCAGATAGATACCATAAGACACTACTTCACTGGGAACTTAGCCACCTGCAGAAGAGATGGAATACAGTGCATGAGTCCTCTCCCAAAAGAATCACTAAAAATAATTAATTTTCTTCAACATGAAACATTGCAAGCATGTACACATTTAAGACTTGCTGTGATCCTGTGTAGACAGAAGCACACTCCAAATGAAAAATGCACTTATAATATTTTTATTTCTGAAAGCAGTGTAGTGGAAGCACAATTTTGAGTCAGCTTACCAGTGCTAAAATTCCTTTTTCATGGACCTGCATAGCATTCTCTCTTTTTCACAATAAGATGGGGGCACAACTGCTGCTACCAATCTTGTTCCTTTACAATGAGAGAACTACAGGCCTTTGTTCGCTAGAAACTGAGTGTCTGAGAACTTAAAATGGTTACATGACCTGCCAAGAGACTAGACAACTTCAATAATGCCTTTTCTGTCCAACTCCCACTTGATATTTTGGTAGTATGGGAAGCAGACTCTTAGCCCTCTTAGCTTAGGAAACCCAGATAACCTGAGACAATTGCCCTGGCTCTGCTCCCCAGTCGTCCCTGCCCTCCAAAGGGCTTGTCCCTGGGAAAGGAGTAGGAAGGACCTACTTAAATTGAGAATAATTTCCAATTTTGTGTTTTCCAATTTGTTGCTTCGTGAGCCACACACTTTGACCAGAGAAGCCTGCTGTCTGTGCTACAGACAGGGCCAGCACAGGATTTGGCCCACGCAAGGAGATTTAGTCACACAATTTCCCTTACCAGTAGAATTTGTACGACTCAATATTACCACAAGCATACTGAAAATGTACCTGAGAGAATCCTTTCAAGCTCACAACAGCTCAGTAAAATTAATAATGTATTGTTCTAAACCATTCTCACTCAGTTCTCATACCTTAATTCACATTTGGTTTAGGTTGCCATTACTTTACTGGTTTATGTAGTAAGGATGCCATGAAAACAGCAGCTCAGGACAGGAATAGCAAGGGTTTCTCGGGTCAGCAAGGAAGTTTCAGCAGCAGAGAGGCAAAAACACAGTTTATGATTCAGCCTTTGTCTAGGCAGTGCTCTTAACCTGTGAAACCTGCATGAACAGGCAGGCAGTCTTTTCACCTCTATCTTCTTGTTTTTTGGTGTTTTTTTTTTTTTAACATTACAATTAAAACCAAAATGAAGGTTTATACCAAAACTGTACAGAAGTAACAGTAAGCAACATGGAAACAAATTAAAAAAAACAAGTAGATTCTCAGTTTGCTTCATGCTGATACCCTTTTATGTTGTGCCTCGCAACAAGGGGCATATACTTACATCTGTAGGCTTATATCTCATAGGCTATGATGTGAACTTATTTTTCTTTTTGCATACTTTGCAATTGGTAAAAGAGCTTAGTTTACAGGTGTACTTCAGACATGACTACATTCATGTAGAGCGCCTAGTGTATAGAGCCATTTATCTTTTTGTTCGCCTTCAACTACACGGCTGACATAAACTGAAAAAACCCTTACTTCCATGTCGTCAGATTCCAATGCACTAGAAAGTGTGTGCAAGAAATCAGGCTTAAAATGAATAATAAATTTAAACTGAAAAAGGACAGCATGTATTCCTGCAAAAATATTTCCTTATACTAAATGAAATACTAGCGGAGACAAAATTGACATACTTTAAGATATTTAAAGAATACTTTCAGTTCAGTTCTACATTCCTGGTGAATGCACAACTCCCCGTGACTTCAGCAAAAATCTCAGCAGTGAAAGTAATGGGGTATAGCCCACCCCCACCCCCAGCCTCTGTTGTGCATATACTTATGCATGTGCCAAACTTTAAGAATACAATCAGGCTAAGTAAAGTGGGATATTATGCATTTCCAAAGTCTTATGGGGATCTAGACCTTATACTGTCTCTACATTAAAATTATTTGTGAAAACTTCTTTCACAAGAACACGATACAAAGATTTTTCTGTTGGTTCAGTCCTACTGGCCTTGACTCTTTTATTCGACTAAAAATCTCAGCAACTTTTTTCCCAATAAAGTATATACCCTTCCGTTTAAATAATCAGAAATCTGAGGCTCTCAAGAGCTTTGGAAGGGTCTTGGTTTTGGCCTGTCCATACAGGCTTGTTACTTTTCCTCCTTTATTCATACTCACTCTTACAATTCCGGCACCTGCATGATTTTTTATCTACAACTGTAGGTCAAACAAAAGTCTAAAATTCTGGCAGCCTTAAAATCCCCCTCAAAAATATGACGTGGGAGGATATGCTTTAAAAATTCCATTATTTCAGTAGGTTTTTTTCCAGTGTATCCTTCTTCCAGGTGTGGCCTCACCAAGAATTTTTTTTTCCCTTTATTTTTATCACATAGTTGACATTTTATAAAGTTATTTTGGAACTGCTGAACCATGAAACTATTTTTATTGTCAAAATCCTGAATGGTTAAATAATGAGTAGCTTTCACAGTTTGCCTCTTATTTATTTTATAATCTAGTTGAGCTACTAAATTTAGCTGTTAACTAATAGACTGTCTGTTCTGGGAAATAACTTATTTTCCACCCCTGCACACAAGGTTTATGAAAGTCTGACTGTAAATATATGAATATAAACATATCGCTGCTTGTTGTAATCATGTACATTTTTACTTGAACCTCCATGTGGATTTGGAATATGTTTATGAATAGAGCTTGTTTTCATGTAAATGGGATCAAGCAGTACCACTGGTTAGCTATTCAGAGAATCAGACAATATCACCCTGGCTGGAAATACTTCAATAAAAATTTATCCATGTACCTAATATTTGAACTCAGATTTTTTGCTTTCTAGTTTTCTGTTCTAATCCCAGATTTTATTGACTGACAATGAGCTATATGATGGTGTTAAACTAAATGCAATCTATTCTATCTGTTTTGATCGCTGCATACTTCAGGTTTCAGCTGAGAAGCTGTAAGAAAAGATATTTTTTTTTTTCCCCCTCAATGGCAGCCCAAAAAATTCAGAGAGCAAAAATCCTGCCAACAGTTCTCAAGCCAATTCTGTATCTCGGAAGAGGAATACATGAAAATGAAAAGAAGATTCGAGTTTGATAAAGCATGGAACATTTTTTTCCCCAGCCTTTTCATGTACCAGAAAACCTAGTGTCCATAGCTAAAAGAATGATTTCTAAAAGAAACAAAGAATAAAAGGATTTTCATGTTTATTAAACTATATATATGGGCACTCGCAATAAGAAAATAGAGACAATTTGTGAATAAAAACAAGTACTTTGAACTAACCTGCACATTTCTATTTATTTTTTAGAAATCTATAAATATTTATACACTTACCTGCATCTTAAGTGCTTCAAAATAAATGTACAAAATGCAGGGATTTCAAATGCATTATGTATTTTACCTGTCATGTTTGATTCTTTGTTTCCTAAAGAAACTACACTATTTCCAAACAGACTGGGAGGAGTATTAGGCAAGAATATTACCAAAAAACCCAACTTAAGTCTCGCTCCACTCTGCCGTACGCCCCACACAAATAGGATGACATGGTGTGAGTATCAAGAATACAAGAGATGGCACAGCCAGGTTGTTTTGATATTTGTGTGAAGAACAAATTTAACTCTAAATCTCTTGGCAAGACCTTGCTTCACCCACATAATCTGGAGAACATCCATATGTGAGCCTTGTCTAAGCCTCCGAGAAGACTGCTGCCCTCCTGCTCATGTCCGCCAGCACTCTGATCTGACTTTCATACTTAATCTGATCTAATCCTGTCCAGCATTAACTTCATCTGTGCAATGAAACCTGGAGTATCCATTCTAATATTTGGTGAGGAAGGCATTTACTAAATTACTTGCTGAAATCATATGGTGTTGTTTAGCTCCTTATTTTAATCAGATGATGCATCTCTGAGGCACATTATCAGCGATTAGTTAGAAACCCTCCTCTGTCCTTTTTGGGAACAAAGAACTTTTCTGAAATTAAATGCTAAGAGAAACGAAGCACTGTTGCATTTTGTCAACAAATAGGTATTAGAAAAAGGAAAAAAACATGACTAAACACACTTTCTTCAGTGCTGCACAAAACCAGTAACTTTTCTGAAATAAGAAGAGTTTGTTTAAATAGCAAAATATCAAAGCAAAAAAAAAAAAAAAAAAAGATTAAAAAAAGAACAAAAAAAAGCTTTGGAGGAATATTTTATCAGAAGCCACTTAAAAAGAACATTGTTTAAAAAGACAATAGACAGCTTGGTACTTTCCTTTACGTTTTTCCTTTAACTATTTCTTAGCAAGGTACAGAAATCTGCTGAACTGAGCTGTCCTAGGAAGTCCCCGTTTTCAGAATTTGGTCTCTCACAATAGTTACGTGCAACAAAAAATAAATAGCTTTTTCTGTTTTGGACATTTAAAGGGTCAAGAGCAAATATTAATGAAGGAAAGACAGATTTACTTAAAGATATCTACTCTCCTAAATGAAATTTGTACATCTCTTTTTACAATGCCTCCATTTATATAATACAAATTATTAATAATGTACCATTTTTAAAGTTAGCATGTAGCAAACACAGCATGGCACAATTCTACAAATACAGTACCAGAAAACAGTTGTGTCAATAATCAAATCTATTTGCATAAATTATTAAACAATATACATATATCTACCTTTTCATAAATTAAGTGCTGTGCTTTAATTTTTTTTTACTACAAATTCTCTTACAATTAACATGTGCCTGTGCAAATAATATAAAGCCTATGTCTACAAAAAATTCCTGTCAAATTGATTTAAGAAACAGAATGTGAGAGGGGAAAAAAGGTTTTGAAAATCTTTTTTTCCTCGGAAAGATTTTCTGGGGAGCAAAAAATATATCCCTTTATATCAATAGTCAGATCTTTCCTAAGAAGTAAGCTAATTGAGCTGTTTGTGTTGATAAACTCCCTTTTCTCCAGACTGTTCCTCACTGAGCCATAATTATTTGCAATTTGCCTAAGTCGTCCATTTACTGATACGTCAAGCATGAAACAGAGGCAATTCCAGAAAATGGAAATGCTTCTCAAAATCAATCTTTGGGAAATAATGTGGTAGAAGTTACTGTGTGATAGAAGACTACCTTATAACTGTCACATGGAGATGAATATTAATTTGTTGAGGTTAAGGTGGCTTTGTGCTTCATTTGTTGACTTTGCTTAGCCATCAGCAAGCAGCACAGTACAATTACTCCAGCAAAGCTATTTTTCTAACATGAGTTTTATGATTTTTATGTACTTACCAGTCAGCACACATAACAATGTCAAAATGTCCTTCCAGTTGAGAGACATCTGTCTCATTATCCCATCGTAAAATGCTAGAGGAAAAAAAGATTTTAAAAAAAGAAAAGAAAAGAAAAAAGGACGTACATTTTTCATCTTGAGATTTTTAAAGTATTAATATTATTCTTATGTGACACAGAAGTGTTTTAAAAACTATACACTTGTTACTTTCAAAGATGAATGTAAAAATATTATTCTGTACATTTTTAAGGTTTTAAATCTCACAGCTAAAGAGCTATTTTTTATTATAACAGAAAGGCAATCCACACAGGTTCTGATGAGTGGATCACCAGCAAATATGCATTTCTGAATTAGTGGCACACGTATGGCTTCAGGTGTTTACCCCTTAACATGACTGCACGAGGAAATGAAGTCAAAGTAGCGACAATCTGAATGAAACACAAATTTGCAGAACAGATGTGAATTCATGGACCTCCTTGCATCTGGCAGGCAAGTCAGTTGTGTTTCTCATTGATGAAGTGAGCATTCACTTGGGCTGGAGGGAGGAGGAACAGGGTGAAAGAATGCCAAGCTTAACTTCAATGCCAGCTATGTTGCCTCAGGCAGGCTTAAAAAATACAGCAGTGCTGACTCTGTCAACACCTATTCTCTCATAGGTGATAAGTTATTTAATTCTAAGGTACCCAACAGTAGGCAAAAAGGCACATATGTGCAAAGTTCTTCTTTGTTTATAAATGCTGCCGATTTATGTGGCTGCCACGAAGAATTTCAGTACTTTAATCCCATTTAAAAACAGCAACCAGTATTGGAATTTACTGCATACTTAAAATATCATTACCCCGAAGATTTGAAGATGCATTTCTATTTCTAGCCTATTTTTTAAAAAGAAGAATCTATGCTTCTTTTTCATTTCCTGGTTATTTATAATACAAAGTAGATAAATATTTATGGGAAAAGCACTTGTGGGGGAAGGGTCTAATCTGATCTTGTCAGGTTGTGCATGCTTATCTCAGTTTTGTATGAGTCTTGACCAAATAGACCCTTTAGTCTTCCCGCAGCTATAATCTACTTCTGGTTAAAAGCCATCTCCATTCACATCCTACTTCTAATATTTAACGGGGGATCAGTTATAATGTGTTCATTCAGAAATGTTTCCTAAGCATATAGGAAAAAAGGAAATTTTATGCATTGGCTATACGATATGCAAAATAGGCTCGTAAACACAGAGACAGATAGATATATAGAGCCACAAAGAATTAAGGTACCACTATATGCATGTACATGTGCACAGATACAAAATTTGAGACAGAATGCTTTTAAAACATGGAAATTATGAAAGGAGAGGCCCAGTTGGTTGGGAAAGCTTTGATTATGTGGGGCTCAGTGTAACTGAACAGATCAGGACTCATTAGCCCATTTGCCCTCCTGGAATTTACTGTGACAATCCAGAGAGAGAAAAGAGTAGATTAATTTAATTTTTCCCCCTCAAATTGAAAGTATTCCAGATTTTAGAAGCCTAGGTAGCTTTGCACACTGGCACGCAGCAGGCATCCAGTAGTGGAAAGTGACAAAGGAGAGTTCTCACTCTCAGCTGCTGGCTGCCTGCTGGCTACCAGCGGCTTTTTCAACCCTGTTTCCGTGGAAACTTAGGTTAGAATGGTGAAAATTAGGTAAAGGTAAGTTTTGTGGGTTTAAAGCACGCACTCTAATACTTTAAGAATCCTGAAGCAGAACTGGAAATTGGTAGATGAACTGTGAGCCTTAAAAGGCCACCTTTGGTTCTCATTGCTACAGAAACAGAGATCTGATCAGTACCACTATAGGGATTTGAATTATGATTTTTTTAACCCATATATTTACTATACTTCACGCATGCAGTTCGGAAGGCAGCACAGGTGCCTCCTCCTGGAAAATAAAAAAAACCCTCTTTCATGTTACTGTCAGGTTCCTGCTGAGCATCCAAAATACAGCATTTTCTGTGCACACCTACTGTAGGCACAAAGGAGTTTGTGCAGGTAGGTAAAAACTCAGAAACCATAAAGCCAAGCAAAATATTAAATCAATGAGTTGCCAGGAGCATGAGCAGTGGTGCAACGTGGCATGTGTACTGCTAGGAGAACACACGTGTGCTAAGGGCCTCACATCCAGCCATAAACCTGTCTCCCTCCATTTTCCTGATCTGGCACCAGGGCTGCTCTTGGTCTCTACATCCAGTGCAGTTGCATTCCTGAAGACATCATAATTATTTAAAGGCCAATGATAAATTTACATGCAAGATTTTCAAAATTGACTTTGTCATAAATTTTCAGAAAGTATAGGAAAATCTTTATTCCTGTGGGGAAGTAACCACGTAAGCTAAAGAGAATTTTGGTAAAATAAATACCAACAGGACTCATTCTGATCTTCTCTCCCACCACATTGCTGGGAGAGATGTAACTACAAGCTGTATACATTTATCCATGCTATCTTTAGACAAGTGCAAATATGACCAGTAACTGAAGCACAGGTAGGGTACATGAAGCTCAATATTGGCTGCAACCTCCAAAACTGTTTAGGTAGCTAACTCTGGGCCACCATATCTACGCCTTTATCCATTTAATGCTGCCACAAATTTGCATGAGCTGCAATCAAACATCCACACCTGCAGAGTAGACATGCCCCCACAATATCAGAAACAATTCTGCTCAGACTCGACATCATTACATCATTATCGCTGATGTCAGAATCAGCTATTTTGAATTCTAGGGCTAATGAACCTACTGAATCAGAGTCAGGATATATACAAATACCATCAACTAGCCATACACGTTTTTGTAATCCAAACACAATTCCTGAGTTTGAAGCACTGAAAAACAAACTGACGTTGCAAAACAATTCTAAGAAGGGTAAAGATGTGTTTATGTGTACCTAGATGCATGTATCTATACGTAGTAAGGGGGTGAGGAACAATAATTTTTTCAGGGATTATTAAGGATGTGAGTCTTGGACGTAGTGGTCAGACCTGAAGGAAATACCAAAGGCACCATGAAGTAAGGGCTGATTGCATTTCCATTTAAAGAAAAGCACTGCTAGGAAACTCAGAAAAAGTGCTAGCAACAGAAATCTGAAAATCTCAGTCTTCATGAATTTTCCTTTAGAAAAAAATAGACATAAGTGTAAAAATACCAAACCACAAAAATTCTTTTAAATTGCCAGCATCATGTTGAGCACCAACACACAAAAAAAAAGCAAGCCTTATTAATACTTTCCTCTTGTTCCCTTTCCAGTGATGCTGAATTAGTGGGCATAAACCACCTTTTTCTAAAGCTACTTTTCTTCCAGCAAATAAGAAGTTTTAAAGCTATAACATTATTATGTCTTTGAGGGAAGATGCTACACTACTAACAGCTGAAATTTGAAAAACATGTTTTACTCTGTATTTCTGTCCAAGCCACACCTTCAATGCCCTTTTTTTTTTGTTAAAAAAATGCCCCAAAACAATAATAACAAAAAACCCAACATATTTAAGGCTATGTAAAGCCTACTCTTGACAATATTTTATACTGGCTTATTTAACTCGTGCAGGTTTAGTTTCTCGCAATCAAAAATAAGTTTCAGCAGAAAAGGGGATGAAAGCCACTGGAAATAGAAAACAGTTTGGGAGCTTTTTTTGGCTACAAGAACATTAAAAAAGGAAATAGGATGTGAGGAAAAAACACTGCTACACTGTTCAGGTTAAACTGCTGGTGGCTGGAACTTGGTACCCGCTAATGGCTGCTTTATGGCCTGTATCAAATGAATTTGACCAGTTTTCAGAGGAAAAGTACCCACGTCACAAACCTATTACTATAATTAGCAATCTTGATGGCAGTCCTAGCAAAAAGGACAAGGACTGAATGAGCTATGGAGAATGAACTATCCTCTCACATGCAGAGGTGGCTTTTCCAGGTCAGGGATAAAGCATACTATTGAAATAGTCTGAGAAAATATGTACTGATGTTTTAGTTTCCTAGGCTGTAAACCTTACACTGCTCTAAAGCAACAAATTCATTAAATAAAACCCCAAAACCACAGATTTCCCCTTTTAAATTTTTTTTTAATTGACAAGTAAGCCAGAAAATGTGATTAGATCAAGATAAGAAGAATTGTAATGATAAGTCAACAAAACGTTAAACTAAGAAAACAGAGACTTTAAGTACTACCAACATAGTCCCAAATATCCCCTTGTATTTCAAAGAAAAAACCCACAATAAAACAGCAAACGTTGCAGGGACAGTTAGAGCAGCTAAGGCTGCACTTCCCCTGTACAGTAACTCTAATTTATGTAGGATAGCCTGACAAATGTCGACACTCTTTTTCTTAGACTGGTAAAGTATCTTAGCAATCTACAACAAAAGACCTGATTTTACCAGGTTTTTATTTCTCATGCAAAATTCCTCATTACTATTATTATTCAACTTGTGTTATTCAATGTTTGTCTTCCTAGTGTGTCTAGGCAGGTAACTTACATGAGAAAAAACAGGTTAAGTCTCTGATTGTTAAAACTTGAAACATTTCCAAGTCCCTCTGAGATGTTCTTGTGATGAATGGCATAGGCTAGAGTAGGCTCTCAAGTTAGCAGAAAAGTAGTTGTGCAGATAAAGACAAAAAAATCAAAACTAGAAGAAAGGACAAAAGACACAAAAGCCTTACCTGCTTCGAAATGTATTAGTAGTTTGAAGATAAAAAAATCTGTCCCACTTAGCAGATTAACAGCTACCAAGAACCCCCATCTACCCACCTCTTCTTTTCATATTTTAATTTAGGCTTCAGTCTTTGAAAAGCATTATCATTGGTAAGTATACAGGTTCAGGTAAAAGGTTTTGTCTGGGAGTTTATATGACTTTTTCCATGACATTAACCAAGCAAGTTCATTAACACATTAACAAAAGGCATCATCAGGATGTTTCTCTAACCTTGATCTTTTTTTAAATTCCTCGGTTCTGTATAAAGATCAAGAAGATGGATTTTAATTTAGCAACAGAGGCAATGTGTTCACCCATCATTACAACTCTTCTGAGGAGTTTCGCAGATTTGCCTACTATCATTTCCCCAT